GTTCACTTCCAAAAAATCAACAGTGTGCATTAGTCATGTGTCCTATACAGACCATGACCTTATCATCCCTAATGGGGAAGAACAATCTTGGCATAGTGTGCCGAATCCGCCCTCTACGGAGGCAGAAGTTGAGCGAGTAGCCATAGGGGCTGCTAGAAGTGATGGCAATAGCCGAAGGGGGGTCAAGGACAATTGAAGGGTGGCATAAGCCGAAGGAGTGCCCAACGGGCGAATGGTGCCCATAGGGCGAAGGTGGCCATGTGCCGAAGGATATTAAAAGGCCGGGAACCCTACTTCTTACTGTCATTTTATGAGTATCACAAAAGTGTGCGGACACACATAGTTTGTGATGCTCAAACCAAGCAGAATGTCAAACACGGTAGGGACCTTATCGCTGCAGATGTGTGTACGATCTTGATTCATGTTTTCGATCATGCGCAAGTTGACACATGATTTTGATGCGTTTTCAATCTGGGTAATGCATTCCCTTGGCTCATAGCAAGCTCTTTGACATGTTAAGTCAATTTGTTGCTTTTCATTTCTACGTCATTCGTCATAACACACCATGCGCTAAATGTACTGACAATTCTTGAACAACTCATTTCTTCTTTCGCGTTCAGCAGGCTTTTTTCGCGATATGGAACTCCATGCAAGAAGCAAAGCTGCCAATGGACCGCCGTTGAGTGCTACCGTTGCGTATCTTCCGTCACAACCGATGGTATCACTGCCTTCACCGTGTGCAGCAGCTCCATTTGTACCACGGGCGACACCTGCATTTTCACCATTTCCCGGACATGCACCAGTTCTACAGACTCCGCCCGGTCCCCTTCCTTCACCTCCCCCCTCACATCCTTCACGTACAGTTGAACATGGACCTCACCAAGCAACCCCCAAGATATAACCTATCGCGGAGTCCTCGGCAAAATCAGGAGTATCACCGGTTCCCATCACGTTGCCAGCTGAACATGCGGAAAGACGTACGCCTACTTCACCATCCGGATTATCGTTGACTGTCAAAGGCATTGTAGGAGAATATAGATTGGAAACTCAGAGTATTGATCATGCAGGACCCATAGTGTATCTCATGGATCGCATCATGACAGTGGAATCCAATTTGGCACAACAACGTCTTCAAGATCAACAGTTTTGGACACAAATGGACCAGACAACAATTGACACCGTTTGACTGAAAAGAAGCCGTCGTAGCTGCATTTTGGTTTTGTGCTTTTCATTCCAATTGCAACTTTGCAACTGTTCAAACGTTTTCTGCAACATCCCACCCAAAACGACTTGCTCGCAGTGTGATATTTGTTTTCCGTAATTGATTATATTCAGTTCTCCAGCTTAGTTTACGTCCATTGTTCTACTCTATATGGTTCACGGTACTGCAACACACTGGCTTAAGTGTTATATAACTGTGATTTAATCAATCCATTTACTGTTTTCATCACTGCGTTCTATCTCAACCACCTGACCTACGTGTTCTACGCGTCGGAATCTCAGTTTTTGGCGAATTCTGCCCTTCGTCCATAGACGACTAATCAACGTTCATTTTAAACGGATTTGTGGAAGAACAAGAATACAATCGATTTGTGTCCATTTCATTTCGTGGTATCCATGTTTCAATTGAAGTGCAGTTATCTTCACTTTTTAACACTCCAAAGTTATACTGTCCTTGCTCTATTTGTTCCACGCGTCGGCAACCCAGAAGTGTCACCTTCCTTATGAAGACATATATATATGTGTGTATACCGCTCTCCACACGCAAAGTGTTGCGCAATCTGCAAGAAACAATTGATGTTCGTGAGGGACAAGGGCACGATAACTTTGGATTGCATCATATTCAATTATTTCGCTAATACAAACTTTGGATTGTATCATTTTCAATCATTTCGGCAATAACAATTAACACCTTTTAATCTAACCATGTCCTTTCCATTTCGACTTTATTTATCGCGATTTCTTTGATCTACGTGGTCTACTTGCTCTACACGCAGTCTTTCAGAATTTGCCTTCCATGTGAAGGGGGTGCCCAACGGGCGAATGGTGCCCATAGGGCGAAGGTGGCCATGTGCCGAAGGATTTTATTGGCCGGGAACCCTACTTCTTACTGTCATTTTATGAGTTTTCACCTTCTCTTTCAAATCAATTTACAATTGTGAGGACAAGAGGTCAATTTGAAGAGATCTAGAATATAGGAAGACCTATCACAAAAGTGTGCGGACACACATAGTTTGTGATGCTCAAACCAAGCAGAATGTCAAACACGGTAGGGACCTTATCGCTGCAGATGTGTGTACGATCTTGATTCATGTTTTCGATCATGCGCAAGTTGACACATGATTTTGATGCGTTTTCAATCTGGGTAATGCATTCCCTTGGCTCATAGCAAGATCTTTGACATGTTAAGTCAATTTGTTGCTTTTCATTTCTACATGTCATTCGTCATAACACACCATGCGCTAAATGTACTGACAATTCTTGAACAACTCATTTCTTCTTTCGTGTTCAGCAGACTTTTTCGCGATATGGAACTCCATGCAAGAAGCAAAGCTGCCAATGGACCGCCGTTGAGTGCTACCGTTGCGTATCTTCCGTCACAACCGATGGTATCACTGTCTTCACCGTGTACAGCAGCTCCATTTGTACCACGGGCGACACCTGCATTTTCACCATTTCCCGGACATGCACCAGTTCTACAGACTCCGCCCGGTCCCCTTCCTTCACCTCCCCCCTCACATCCTTCACGTACAGTTGAACATGGACCTCACCAAGCAACCCCCAAGATATAACCTATCGCGGAGTCCTCAGCAAAATCAGGAGTATCACCGGTTCCCATCACGTTGCTAGCTGAACATGCGGAAAGACGTACGCCTACTTCACCATCCGGATTATCGTTGACTGTCAAAGGCATTGTAGGAGAATATAGATTGGAAGCTCAGAGTGTTGATCATGCAGGACCCATAGTGTATCTCATGGATCGCATCATGACAGTGGAATCCAATTTGGCACAACAACGTCTTCAAGATCAACAGTTTTGGACACAAATGGACCAGACAACAATTGACACCGTTTGACTGAAAAGAAGCCGTCGTAGCTGCAATTTGGTTTTGTGCTTTTCATTCCAATTGCAACTTTGCAACTGTTCAAACGTTTTCTGCAACATCCCACCCAAAACGCCTGGCTCGCAGTGTGATATTTGTTTTCCGCAATGGATTATTTTCAGTTCTCCAGCTTAGTTTACGTCCGTTGTTCTACTCTATATGGCTCACGGTACTACAACACACTGGCTTAAGTGTTGTACAACTGTGATTTGATCAATCCATTTACTGTTTTCATCACTGCGTTCTATCTCAACCACCTGACCTACGTGTTCTACGCGTCGGAATCTCAATTTTTGGCGAATTCTGCCCTTCGTCCATAGACAACTAATAAACGTTCATTTTAAACGGATTTGTGGAAGAACAAGAATACAATCGATTTGTGTCCGTTTCATTTCGTGGTATCCATGTTTCAATTGAAGTGCAGTTATCTTCACTTTTTAACACTCCAAAGTTATACTGTCCTTGCTCTATTTGTTCCACGCGTCGGCAACCCAGAAGTGTCACCTTCCTTATGAAGACATATGGATATATGTGTATACCGCTCTCCACACGCAAAGTGTTGCGCAATCTGCAACAAACAATTGATGTTCGTGAGGGACAAGGGCACGATAACTTTGGATTGCATCATATTCAATTATTTCGCTTATACAAACTTTGGATTGTATCATATTCAATCATTTCGCCAATAACAATTAACACCTTTTAATCTAACCATGTCCTTTCCATTTCGACTTTATTTATCGCGATTTCTTTGATCTACGTGGTCTACTTGCTCTACACGCCGCTACCTCAGAGTACCTTCTTTGGAAAGACCTGTCCATGAAGATGCAGGTGCGTATACACCTAATCCCAAGCATGAATTTCATTTTCGAATGAGTTCAACGTTGCTTATATTGACGTGATCTGCTTGCTTCATTAGGCAGTCTTTCAGAATTTGCCTTCCATGTGAAGGCCTTTGTGTGTGTGTGTACACTGCTATTCACATGCAGAAAACTACAACTGGACATTTGATGACTATGCGCGTTATGTTTTCCGAATTCATGCGCCAAAGACTATGCACGTTATGTTTTCCGAATTCATGCGCCAAAGACTACTTAACAGCAGGGGGCTGCAGGGAATATCATAGTTCTGCAGCCAACGAAGACGGCTATGACATTCTGTGATATCGATCCGGGACGCTGAACCGACGTACCTGCCTAATCATGTCTTTCCATTTCCGCGATGGGATGTGGCTAACCCAAGAACCACCTTGCCGATTAATGATTTGGACCTGGTTTCACCTGTTTATCAAGGATGATGGACTCAGGAATTCTACCAGGCGTGTACAACCACATCGTCATTGCAGTTCACTTCCAAAAAATCGACAGTGTGTGTGCGTGTTTTTCGATGTGAATGTCTGAATGTTAGTGACGTTAGTGTGAATATGCGGGGAACAGGAACTAGGAATGGGAATTACATTAGATTTAGAAAAATGCTAATTGGGATGAGTGAGACATGATTGATGAAGATACAAGAAATTTGACACACACATGGAAAGGGGTTTGGGTTAGTGTTCAGGGTAGGCCGTTCAAATATTCCATTTTTGCGAAATTCACTCCAGCACTTCTACACAAAAAATCACAATAACCAGTTTGTGGGCTCTGGTGTAGAATCGTAGGTGCTACAGTAAGTGAAAAGGCGAAAAACATGGTCGTGGTATTGTCTTTTTCGGCAAGGCAGGTTTCTTTCTTTCACATTGTGTTCAAGCGCAGCCTCCGAACTCCCAATACAATAGAATTCTAAAAGAACCAGGGGAATGATTCAGGGCTCTTACCCAGAGCCGCATGCGACACACCTTGGCAAAACACCTTCAAAACACCTTCAGGCAAAGCAACGTGTCCATTGCCGCTACAAACGTTAAAATTTCTGCATGGGGCACTTGTAGTAGATGGCACCCAGCATCTCTGGACTGGAACCACCGTTGAAGATACCTCTGCTCTTGGATATTCTGGAAACCCGGCAGAAGTGCTTCCAGCAATGGTTTTAACGGAGAGCGGAGTCGTGATTTAGATGGGACAAGTGATGGCAATATCTATTAGTCCCTTGGAATTGTGGGTTCCCCATGTTCACACCCAAACCCATATGGTGGTTTCCTACAATGGGGGTACCCCAAAACCATGGATTTCAATATGATATACCAAAATAGTCTGAGTTTGGATACCCCTATTTTCGGAAACCCCCACATCTCCAATGCGATGCTACGCATTTTCGCTGCCAAGTCACCCAGTTGTGCTCCATCTGGCAGATCTGTGCAAGCTGCGCCCCAGGCGTCATTGACCTTCCCATCAGGTCAAGTTGGCCCAAAAATGAAATATGTCATATGTATTGTATATTATATTATACTATATATTATATTATATTATGTTATGTTATGTTATATTATATATATTATATATATATGTTATAATGTATACCATATTATATATATATATTATAATTATATTATATATTATATATTATACATTATATCTTATATATTATATATTATATATTATAATATTATATATATATATATTATATTATATATTATATATTATATTATATATTATATATTATATATTATATATTATATATTATATATTATATATTATATATTATATATATTATTATATATTATATATTATATAATATATATTATATATTATATTATATTATATTATATTATATATATATTATAATATGTGTAGTAGAAATAGTAATAATAATAATAATAGCATTATAAATCAGTTATTTATTAGAAACAAACAGAACCTGTCCAGTATCCGCTGCCTCTTAAAGGTGGAATGCATCCCTTAGAACCCACGTGCAAGATCGCACCATCGCCAAGGAGCTAAGTGACGAGTGAGGTCTGCCATGCAGAGGAAGATTGAGGCCAGGATACAGAAGAAGGGACCTCATTGGAGGATTCGAAAACTCTAAGCGAACCTAACCACACTAGCCCAGCTGGCACAAGTCGAGATGTCAAATGCAACGCATGTCTACGGTGTTTGCTGGAACTGATGACCCCAAGGTTGACACTTCCGAGAAACTTGGCTGTAATCCAGCTATCGTTGCTTCAAGCTGACTAATTCCCCACTAATCATTGTTATTTATTCACCCATATTCAACCATTGTTGCTTCAGGTGATGTCTAAAACCCAAGGTTTGCCTGTGCGGAGCAGCTGTTGACTCAGCACTAGATTTAACATACTATTGCCAGAATTGTTGATGCCTCTGTCCCTCATAACTGGTTGGCGCCAATTTGTTTGACGTCACGCATCAGGAGCGACGTCTGGTCCCCAAAATTGCTGCTGACGTCACTGAGATCACCACCCCATTTCCGCATAAACCTGGAAGCCCAGAGCTGTGCGAGTTACGGAACTCATTAGCATGGGCAAGTGACAGCTGTTGTGGGTATCCGTATTTACTCCAAGCAGCTTATGCAGAAGTCTGGGAAAAGTCACTGGTCTTGCTGCTCTGTTACCAGTCGCCTCTCACTGTTGGAATCTGAGACTGGAGCCTGTAATCCTTTCGAGACTGTCTTGTCTTGTTGAAGACAAATTGCAAGATCTGCCACAAAGCACGTTAGGAAAAAAAATGTATCCAACGTGGGTTCCGTTTTGAAGCAAGATTTCCAGGACGATATGGCCATCATCTTACACATGGTTTCATCTCAGGTGGCTTCAAACATACCCCAGGTCTGCTGAATCGTGCTCATGGCCCGCACATTGGTCATGATGGCCAAGTTAATGCCCCAAGTCAGCGCGTGCACGAAGGACCGTGACGAAGACCTGGCCAGTGATCCCACCCAGAGAATGGAAACTGGAAGTGAAATTGCGTCATCTAAGAATCTTCATGTTCTTTGAAGCAAATTGCGTCATCTGTATCACAAAAGTCCAGCCCCAATCAACCCCATCATTGGTTGCCATCATTGGTTGCCAATTGTCAACCCCAATCATTGGTTGAAGTCATCCCGCCATCTACCCCTGAGCTCCCCCACGTGTTGATGGACGCCAAGCCACTGAAAAGTCCCGCGAGCAGCACGGGCCAACATCAGCTGCCTCAAAATTGGGGATTTACCTCTAAAATGGTCATTTAGTAGATAAAAATAAAATAAAATAATGCTATATTAATCCATGGACCATGCATTTGTGTACCAATGGATATATTCACTGTAAAAGGAATTTGGATTTGTGATTACAACAGTTGCAGTCAGATTGATTCATCAGTGGATATGGACAATTTGACCTTAGTTTTGTTTGGAAAATCTGCAGGAAACCGTGGTTTTTGCTCCAAATATAGGGGGTCCTGCAGATTTTCGATTGCACCAATTCCACTGATTTATAAATGTCAGCATTGGATCATAGATCCAAAAACCG